ATCTTTAGCCATCCGCGAGGGGCCGTTTTGAGTTTCACTGCTAGTCGACAGTTAGAGCAGAGTTGGCTCGAGTCAGTGTTGCCAAGTCCGCGGTTTTCCCGCGGAATTGGGCTACTTTAACACTTGCCGCGCTTTGTAGTTTTGGGCTAGTTTTGAGTAGCAATTAGGCGGCTTTTGTTGTGAAAACCTGGCAACCCTGGTCACGCTTATTGACAGTGTAAGATGATATACGATTAGCCGTGTCGGAAATCCAACCACGGATTGGCATGTTGTTATCTCAGAAACAGGCTCAGCCATCACATTGAATCAGGTAAACTGGTTATATATTTATGTTTCAGTATAATTACGCACGCTATACCAGGGGCGGTTCTAAACCCTTTTTAGGTGGGTTTCAGCCCCCCTATCTGTCACCTTAGCCCCCAAAACTATCTTAACGATCAGGCCAGTGCTGCTTCCTCGAGAAAGTTTTTCATTCTCACGTGTTAAAGGCATAATTAAGTAATTCTTTAAATCAACATTAAAGTAATTTTAAGCCATTTAAGCCCAAGACATCTCAATGCGGTACTCACGCACTGTGATAGAGCGTTTCTATGCGCACCACTCACACACCTGAAGTGCACAAACAGATAGCCTTCTCAGACAGCAGGTGAATACCAATGGCTGTCTTGACAAGTATCCTTGTAAGCACAGTCGGTTGTTGCAAGTTAACGTGTTAATAAATTAACGCCGACAATTATTTTATCGTGCGTTAATGCCAATGAGAGCATTTGGGGTGGGCTTAACACAGTGTAAATACCGGACGAAAGCGGCGTGGCTTGACACAACAAAATAGCCTACTATAGGACCCATTATAATCAGTGATGCTGTCTACACTGAATGCGGCGCGGTGCGACACAACAAATTCCCTACATTAAACTGCTGCCTCGTTCTATATATGACGTACTGACACAAATTTCAAATGATGAATTTTAACGGTCGCTTTGTCACATCCAGTGTAGACAGTCCTGTCACATCCGGTGTAGACACGGTGCAACCCCTTATTTACACTGCACGCATCTGTGGCACGTTACGGCTCCGTTCCGTCCTCCACGCAGTGCCAACTCTACCAGGAGCATTTCAGAAGCGAAGCGACAGGATTCGCGAGACCACATGATTTGCCTATCCGACATGGTTTGTCTTGATTATTTGTGTTCTAACATGGCTGTCCGGTTTGGCAGCATTGTCCGGTTTGATTCTGTTTATAGTTGCATTTATTGCTATGTCCTACTTTTTTGTGCTGTAGACTACAAAGTTAATATAATTTAAAAGTCCAGTTATGAACGACAAGGATAAAATATGTGTAGCTGTGTATAGTCGTCTAAAATACATTCTCAATTATCTTTTTTCTATATTTCACATACCATTTCTGGCCTCCTAACAAGGATATGTGAAATACGATCGGGAGTCTGCGCAGGGTGTTTATTTTGAAATTGACAGGATTTGTTGGCTTTTATTTTGTATCTACTGTGCGGCTTGGACGCAGCGTCCATCAAAAATAGGTAAGCGTTCTTAGGATCACAACAAATGATGGCACGTATGAGCCTCCCTCAAGATGCACCATCACAAGAAGATTACACAAGTTGTATGAAAAGGAGATATTAATTTGATTACATTAATGTTAAAGTTGAGATTTACAAGAAATGTTTTAACTGCTACTATGTGAAGGAATACTGCTGTAGAAAAGCACCTTATTTTTTTTAAGTGTTTGCAAACCAAATGTTATTGCACTTTTGTTCATACAGCAGTACTTTTAAAATAAAAGTGTGCAACACTACTTTTGAATTCATTATTGAATGTTGCGCATAACAATGTGATAAATCGTGATTAATCGCACAAAAATCATGTGATTAATCGTGATTAAAAAACAATTATCGTTGCCCAGCACTAACATATATATATATATATATATATACATTTGAATCTATATATTTTAGCGCGTCCTCAATAGGCGCCGTTTTTGAAGAATGCAAATGTGCATAAAAGCGTACGGGAACCCCGGAGTATGACGTAAGAGGGAAACCCCCGATGAATCAAATATCAAATAAAGCAAAATGACAGGGAACAAAAAAAATAGTAAATTAGGCATTAGGTTAACGTGTTAATAAATTAACGCCGACAATTATTTTATCGTGCGTTAATGCCAATGAGAGCATTTGGGGTGGGCTTAACACAGTGTAAATACCGGACGAAAGCGGCGTGGCTTGACACAACAAAATAGCCTACTATAGGACCCATTATAATCAGTGATGCTGTCTACACTGAATGCGGCGCGGTGCGACACAACAAATTCCCTACATTAAACTGCTGCCTCGTTCTATATATGACGTACTGACACAAATTTCAAATGATGAATTTTAACGGTCGCTTTGTCACATCCAGTGTAGACAGTCCTGTCACATCCGGTGTAGACACGGTGCAACCCCTTATTTACACTGCACGCATCTGTGGCACGTTACGGCTCCGTTCCGTCCTCC